AATGTAAAGAAAAATCTTGGTAAAAATACCCGATTAAATGTATAGTCAAAAAGCACAAAAAGGATTAAAAAACAAGATATTTAAAAAGTAAATGTTAGTAATTAATTGACATTAAAAATTAAGTAGAATTTTATGGAATGGCTGACGATTATTATTTAATCAGTCATTAAAACTCTACGCAAACGGAAGAACAACCATTTAATTTTGTTTGGAATTCCTAGAATGAAGATTAGTTTATTCTGTCGACTTTTTTGGACTAAAGTTCTTCATTTATTACGTTTTCTAGAAAACAATGCTAATGACACTTCGTAGATTACTCTTGAGACTAGAGAAACAGTCTAATGGCGGAAAAACAAAATCATTTCGTTTCGAATACCGAAATTTAAAAAGTTTTTCGTGTTTTAATTTTTTCTTTTGCTCGGATAAAATTTGAAATTTTGGACAGGGGCCAAAAATCGAAAGAGTCGAAATGTATTTACAAGAAAATCTTAGTTTATCAGTCTGGGTGTCGTCTTTTCTTCGCTTCCATCGTGGCAATTCGCCGCTGCTGATTTAGTTACATTTCTCCATCCTCCTACTCTATGCTATTCGATAACTTCTTATAATGTCCGCCGCACAACAGATTTTATTTAAGACCAACTTCCACTTACAAGAAACCACATATAAATCCGACTACCACAAAATTAGCTTTTTATCTTTCAGTACAAAATCTTAAAATATTTATATTCCAATTTTTCAAACTGTAAAGCATCTCACTATTTGCTACCTGCCATCAGAGTAATTTAAATATGTAGGCAATTCAGGCAGTCATATTGATATAGTTTTATACTTGCTTATCTATTGAAAATGTATTAAGAAAAATAAATAAAATTAATTTTCTCAAATTTACATTACATGAAAATATTTTCTATATTATTATTATTATTATGCGTAGAGACTACTCAAGGGTCTAAGCTGCAGAAAAAGTGAGGGAATGGGAAAGATGATAAGAAAGAAGAAGGAAGGGCCCTGTTGAACATTGAGCAGATAGCGTGAATTAGATAATATGAAAATTAATACGAAATTTGTTCAGGATTGTTTACATAGTACTTGGAATTACGTAAAATAACAGCTTCACTGTATGGATGTAGTGAGACAGAGTAATGAAAGACAATACAAATCAGTAGATAGTAAGGTAAAGAGGTAGTATTTATAAGCATATAGAAGATAGAAAACAATAAAGCAATAAAGCCACTGATTTCCCATAAGAAAATAAAAACTGATATAAAAATAATCCTTTTAAAAAATAAAACCTTTTTTAGGTATTCGGTATTCGGCCGAATACCGAATAGTAACCGAATATTCGTTGCATCATTAGTAAAATACGGATGAATCGTTTTATTAAATTACAATTCTGATTCAAACACTGAAACCAACATGACTATTGAGAAAGCATGGTTGTGTGAACTGAGGGGGTAGAGCGGCGAGCTTCTCCCCACTTATCGGCTTCGTTGTCAGGGATGGCGATGGTTAAGTGAGTGGGAGGGGTAGTGAAGTCGTGACGATGTATCGGACGTACTCAAAGATGACACAACATTAAAATTAAGAATAACATATTTAATTTATAACAAATGATACAAATACATGCAAGTACTGTACATTCTAAATTCAAATAAGAGAAAAATAGTAATAATGATAATAATACTATATCCGCGTCGCGACAATATTAGACGGCCGATGTCCGTCTTTCCCGTCGGCGAGACCGTCGAAGGTCCGTTTTATGAGGAATTTTCCTTCGCATTTGTGAAAATAGTAACAGAAAAATATAAAGATTAAAAATATTTAAAAATTAAAATTAAAATGCAATAACAAATTAATCTAAGAACCTATAAAAATAAATACATAATTGTTGTAAATACAAAAAAAAGTAACGGCTTTAGTATAGAAATGCAACTAGACAGAAACTATAAGTATTTGAATAGTTTGAAATATTCTGATAAGAATTGACTTATTTAAGTAATGAAGCTTTTAATATTGTGCTCTTGATAAGTAAACATAAGAAAGATACACTTCCATTAAATTTATTTCTTACACATTGACATAATTTTTAAGCTATCGAACTGATAAACGTGTATAGAATAAAAGGTTGAAATGTAAGGTTACGTAGACTTTTAAATTATATAAAATGGAATTCAGGAGCGATAATATTAAGTAAAATCCCCCATGGCAACATATGAAGAATCTTTTATTAGGTCGGAAAGACATTAAAAATGACTTTACAGTTCTTTTTTATATTTATTATCTCTTCTTTCTATAAAGTAAAATGTTAACCAGTATTAAAAATATTATCGTAGTTTTTATGCTTATTACTCTTTACTTTATCGGATATGAATAAAACTTTAATAGTTTTAGCATTTATTTAAAGTTTTACCATAATAAAAAGAAAAGAAGAATAAGAAAATTAAAAAGTCGAGTGGTCGACGTCGACTATAGAAGAACTTTAGAGATAATTTTAATGCTCTCGAAACAATATTAAAAACTTTTATTATTTATTGTCGAATTTCGCTACGACTAAGTAAAAAAGAAAAAGATGAACACGTTTCCTGCTGACGTCATTTCGAACAGCCTTTAATTGTTTTCCGGAGTTCACTCACTCGTAATCAATAATGTGCATTCCGGATAAAAACTTAATTTTCCTTGAAGTAAATTACTGAACATCGGCAATCGCTATTACAATTAATAAAATCTACCCGATTCAAATAAAATTAACTGCATTAAAGAGCGACAAAGGTCTTGATGTTTTCTAATTTGGAGAAACTCGAAGCTCTTTCACTTAATTTGATGGTCATTAATAAGAACAATTTCCAAAGACTGCCTGACATTCGGCGATAGTTTAATCGTCCGAGATAACGAGAACTCTCGCTTACGAATTTGCTGCCTATTTAGTAGCAAAATGAATTTAAATGAGGGTAAAAAAAAGGGAGAAAAATAATATTTAAATTCGAGTTTAGAAGCGCGACAAGTTATTATTATTATTATTTTCCCTCTAACTTTGTTAGGTTCATCTAAGAATAATATCTTCATAATTAAGGGTTTAAAGAGTAAAAATTATATAAAGAATTTCGAGTCGCGTACGATAATTTACGTGAATATTTTTAAGGTGAATATATATATATATATATTTTTTTTTTTCTAAAGAAGAAATAGTTATTTTCTCCGTTTATTTTTCCTTTAGAAATGAATAGAGTTAAGAGATTTTTGCATCTGAATTTTTCATAGCGAAAGATCGATGAGGGAGAAGAATATATTTAGAATTTTGTTTGATGTACCAAGGACGACAGATATAAAAATTTTGCCTTCGATTACATCGAATCGTTTGGGATGCCAAAATCTTCGGGTGCAAAACTTATTTAGTCAGTTTATAGTTTCGAAAAGATTGTTTGCACAATTCCGTTTTCCGGATTTACAAAGTCGATATAAAGAAAATATTTTCTTTCAGTTTACTTCTGTAAATACGATTTACTTTGAAATGATTATGTCTAAAAAAAAGAAAGAAATCATAAAAGGAATAAAATACAAGAATGGATTTTTTCGCCCAAACAATTATCGACATAAAGAAAAATTAATTAAAAAAAAAATCTTAATTTCTTTTCCGTTCCGAAAATGTTTTTAATTCAGTACAACACTTAACGAATAGAAAGTTGTTATTATTATTCATCTACCAAGTAATTTTTCTTCCTGTAATTAATATTTTTTTTTTACTGATGCCGACACCAATAATTTTAATATTTTAAATAATATTAAATAAAGATAAGACGTTTAACCGGTGTCTATAAAGATCGATGGAATCGAAGTATCATGTGGGAAGATAGGTTGAGTAATGATATAATAGGCAGTTTTTTCTGTCACTTCAACATCTGTTGTAATCATAGGTGTATGCAGTGATAATAATGGTTTTTAATCCCAGCAACGAATTCCGAAGAGCTGTTGTTATCAGTATAAAAATATAGCGAGAATCTCAGCTAAGAAAATATAACTTATAATAAACTAATTACAATAAGGTTCGTAATTATCGTCTGAATACTTCGGTTACAGTTTTTGCCTGGAAATTACCAATTTACGCCGAACGCCTATTTAATTAACGCCATTCTTCTCCTCAAAATTACACTAATTCTTCGTATAAGGTATTAATCGGCTCGTTTAACGATATAAAAATAATCCTTTTAAAAAATAAAACCTTTTTTAGGTATTCGGTATTCGGCCGAATACCGAATAGTAACCGAATATTCTTTGCATCATTAGTAAAATACGGATGAATCGTTTTATNGGGTTGACACAGAAGGGGAGGGATATCCGACGGGTTTTCTCATGGGGATCGCTTATAGGAGCTCCGTTCCCACGACAATACTTCCCTGTATAGAATGAGTTAACTGTTGTGTCATGGGTTTGTCACTTCGGGCGCGACTAATTTATCATTTGCCCGCTACTTATGAACTATACGGATTGAACTCCTGAGAGGAATTTGTATTCCAAGAATTAACTATAAAAAATGTATACTAATAAACATGTATTTTGTTAACAAACTTGGATTGGCGTGCGTTTCTTCCGACATTATCCACTCCATACTGCACTGGACGTCCTCGACGAGATCGCTCGTGATAATCACCTCTCTATCCGCGTATCTATCCGCGATAAATTGATAGATTGGTGTCAGATCCTGACAGGTGAAAGAATCTAACGATCCTTTCTCCTAACCAGTTTTTCCGATTTTTTAGACAAGCGAGACTGGACCTGAAGGTCTTGAGTCGAGTAAGTGGTAGGAGAGGGAACATCCTCGTAAACATCCTACCCTCGATTATTCTCACACATTTGTTGTAGAATATTTATACAATTATGTATAGTTGATGAGTAGTTTTGACCGAAATGAATGCAGTAATAAAGTTCTATTCTGATGATATAAGTGTCATTTTGATCTCCTCAGTGTGAAAAGTTTATCTTATCTTTGGTACAGTGTTTGACATTCATGAACCAATTATCATTGAGAAAATAAATTTTATATACGTACGATTTCCTCTTCCGCCGTTGTTTTCTCTTTTGTTGTATCTTTTATCATAAATTACAAAAATTGTTATTCCTGTTCTGGATAATACAGATGATGGATTTATTCCACCACCTGGACTAAATCCCAAATCACGAGTCGAAATACTTTTAAAAATCTACGTAATCAAAATAACAATGAAGCAAATGTGACATTGTGATTCATGGAATTATCATTGTTTAATGTCTAACTTACTTTTTCTTTCGTTAATCTCTCATTATTTTTCAATCCGTACACTGCTTTATCTACAGCTAACATTCCAATTTTAGTTGTAGGTTCTCCTTTTAGTATAAACGTTCCTTTCTTGCCTGGTTCCAATGCTGGAAAGTTTGTTTCTACTGACACCTAAAATTATTTATTTTAAAGTGAATAAAACATTATATTCATTTAAAATATTTTCATTTAGTATTTGAATAATGTTTCACTGTAACAACACGAAGCATTCACAAATCAAAGCATTATAAATATTCTTAAAAGTATGAAAATAAATATCTAAATTAATAAATAACATAAACTGCTACTGAAACCATAGATGGATGACATAAACCAGCAGACAAGTTGGTGATTTTCCAAGAACGGAGATGTCTTCAGATGACTTCTGTATGCAAAGTCACTCTTTTCATATGTTAGATACGTTAAAAGATATGGTAAACTCCATTCAAACGGTCCTCAATTTACTATTAGTGTTTAGTGGTGTCATTCAATGATGAACCACTAGTAAATGAGTGTTTGGAGATATTACTAACTTAACCATAGTTATTGAATAACATCAAGTTTCCAGTAAGGTTTTATTTTATCTAAATGTTCGAAAGATACTAATATAGCAGGTGAGATTATTGAAGAACACATAGCATTTCTCTTTCCGGAAAACAATTATACAAACAAGAATTTGATTTTCAACAATAGAAATCGATTACGAGATCGAACATCGCTCTAAAATTACTCTTTGATTTTATGATATTATCCATTCTACTGAATCTATGCAATAATAATAATCAAATTAATTGTGATATAGTGCATTTAGACAATTAAAACCAAATTTTATTCTTACTCCTCCAACTGTGAAATACTGTACCAAGACTATTTGCCCCTTTTCCCAAACGATCACATAAACTACTGAATTATATCTCACTGTTAATCCTTATACTGTATACAGTACATACACAGAAAGGTATTAAATTGATAAAAATGTCAACAAAAACATTTAATTTGCTTTAGTTGATTAAACAATAGAATTTTTCAACGAGCTGAAAACAGCAGCTGCAACTAATCACATGGTTAATCGATCGAATGAACGAGCTAACAGATATATCATATAGCATATAAGACTCATTTTTGGCGCTATATTTATTTATATACTGCCATATTTTATGAACATTTTAAAAAGCAAAGCTGTACATAGTTTTGGTGTTAAGCAATAATATAATAACTAAGATTTCAATGATTTATTTTAAAATTTTTCTGTGTAGATGAAAACGTGTTTCAGTTAGTAAATGTTTTAAACTAAGGCATATTCCTATAAAAATAAAAACTAAATACTTTTTAAAGTATGTAACTATGAAATCTTAAATATATTACAAACACGTATGCCTGAAATATTACAAGTTTAGGAATTGCAAACACGACAGCACAACTCAAATTTTTGTAGTGGTTTCCATTAACTGTATAATAAATGATAGTTAGTACTTAATACTTTAAAAAAATTTAATCATATTAACATAGAAGAATTTTGTTGTAAAAGGCTAATTTTGCCGTTAAACTTGAAAAAGTTTTACTCTTAATGGAGAAGTTACTTTAAAAAAGATTTATTACTAATTTCTTCATATTTATTTGCATTACTTTCAGGACATTTTCTTCTGCCGATAACTTCTATTTTCGAACATATCACAGCATTAAATGAAGATACCAGTTGGTAATGTTCTTAGCGATAAATAGCTTTGTTAGTTTTACCGTTCATTTAAGCTTTACTTTTAAAAGTTAAGCTCTTGTTATGTTTCATTTCCAAGGAAAAAATGCCTTCAGGATAGCTATAACTACTCCAAAATAAAATTCGAACAAAGTGAAAGATAAACTGCAACAACCATTAAATTGCGCTATAGCAAAAATAGTTCTACTCTAATCAAATCTCTGTTACACTTTTTAAACTATTTCATTAAGATAAAAACCGAAAAGTATTTTAAACTTTTTATTTTTCTTGGTTTTTTTCTTCTTTTAGTCCAACAGAATGTGATTTTTTAAAAAAAAATTATTATTATTTTTTTATTAGAGGTAGAAATAAATGCAGGATGCGGAAATTCACTAAATAGAGGGACGAGAAAATTCGGAAGGGAGGAAAAAAAATATATAATAATAATTTGTGAGAAGATCGGAAGGAGTAGGATGGATACGGATTAGCCTTTGTCACGGGAAGAGAAAATTGATGCATTAGCAGCAAAACTAGTTTTGTTCATTATTAACGGTCTAATAAATATCATTTCTATTCTCGAATTGATCAGCACGTAGAAGAAAGTAATTCTTTTTTTCCTCTAGTTTTTTTATCATCAGAATGATCACGAAGAAATAAAAAAAAGACAATCGTCTTCCACCAATACATTTTCAGTGATTTAATGTCTGCCTACTTCATTTCTTCCTTTCTATAAGTTACTGTATCATCACACGCAACCGAATTTATAAGAACACAAATTTTTTCCTGTGTTTATCAGCTGGAAATGGGCAGTCAGTTCAATTCACTCGATAAAAATTGGCGACATCGTAAAAGTAATGAGAAGTGGTAAATTACAGTCAATCATGCAATAATTTCTTTCATTGCTAAACCGAGAAATTTCAAAAGAGCTCTTACTCAATAAAGAAAGAAAATCTCCAAGATGATTTGTGCTAATATTTCTTCTTGATTTTTAACATTTACATTAGCGGATAATCGCTATTATAATTGAGGAAATTTGCAATTATTTCTATTTAAAATTAGGCGTTTGCAAATTACTAAGTAATTTTCGTTTCGCTAATTAGTTTTAAAGCTGAATATGTAAAACCTTCTGCTACTTTTTAAAATATTAAAAAAAAGTATTCTCCCTTCATTATGACATCGATTAAATTTGTACATAAACGTCATCGCTTTTTTTTTGATATTTTAATTAAGTGTTGCTGTTGTTGCAGAGATTTGGATTGAAATATTAGCTTTGATCAAATAATTTTAAAATTTACTTTAAAAATATCTAAAATTAAGATATTCTTGAAAGTTTATATTATGCTATTGTTAAGTATTTAACAAAATGGATCTGAAATTAGGACTTTAGAGANGTTTATGGACAAATATTTAGTTAAATAATACTAAATTTAATATATTTTAATTATATTTTTATTTAATTACATTTTATAAAATAAAATTCGTACCTGGCTTTTGGGATTGCAAGCATTTTCCACATACATTCGAAGAGAGTCGATCAGAAGTTCTTTGTTTTCTTGTAAAGAAAATACTACGATTCTCAAGACAGGTGCCATTTCTGCTGTAACTACAAATTCCAATTGTATATTTGCCGACTCGCGTTTTGGAATATTTCTGAATAACTCTATTTTTCCCCGAGACATCACCTGAAATCAAATTATCGTTTTGATATTTCAGAAGATGATAAATTCAATTTGAATTTTTTAATGTCACCATATTTTTTAAAGAGTGTCGCTTTGTAACTAAGACTTCACTAAAATTTCGGGACACGCTTATACAGGATGTCCCAAAATTTACTCAAGATTTGAATTTTGTGCCATTTGGGCGGTAATGTGTTGCCAACGAGAAAAAAAAGACAGCGTGACAGCTGACAATTTAGTGTTGTTATTAGGGGCATTTGGGTTTCAGAAAATCCACCAGTAATTGTTGAGAAACAAATGCATCCCACAACGTGTCTCTGGTGCAGATTTTGGGCTGAACGCATCATCGGACCATTATTTTTCGAAACTGTGGCTGGTCAGGCAGTAACAGTTAATGGTGCTCGTTATCGCGACGTGATGATCCAGTTGTTTGTGCCTAAATTGCAAGCATGTGGTTTCAACAAGACGGTGCGACATACCATACAGCTCGAGAAACAATTTAATTAATGAATCAGACATTTCTTGGTCGTCTTTGTGATCAGAAATGGTCGTTCAAATGATGCGATTTAACGCCGAAAAACCTCAAAAACCCCAAAGAAAAAAGTTGGACTTTTTTCTTTGGGGTTTTTTAGGTTTTTCGGCGTTATTAGACTTCATATTAGACTTCAAAAAATCCCAAAGAAAAAAGTTGGACTTTTTCTTTGGGGTTTTTTGAAGTCTAATATTTATGCTAACAAACCCACGACCACCCACGTTTTGAAGGAGAAAATTGAGCGCTGAATCAACTAAATTCAGCCACATTTATGCAAAAAATTTACCCGCTATGCTATTTCATACATAGCCCTATAATGTATTCTTTATGAATCAATAAAAAATTTAAAATTGTTAATTATAAATCTGTGTTTTTTATCAAAATTACTTCTTGCGTAAATTTTGGGACACCCTTTAATTAAGCACTAAGTGATTTTACAACATCAAATTTATTTACTTACTACGAAAAAGAAATTGTCAAATTTATCATTTGGATGAGTGAATACCGATGCTGCAAATGTTTCGCCAACCTGAAAATAGTTATTTCGATCAAAATATGAATAATTCTTTGAATTATTTTTAAAATTTCATACTTATATCAATCTCAAATAAAATTATCGAATTGAGTTTCATAATGAGACTTACTTTCAGCTTTCTCGCTGTTTCAGTTCTCGATATTGCAATATAAGAATCAGATTCGTATTTATAAACTGTAAGACTCTTTGAAGCCTGTTCTTTGAATGTATATGACTCATCATTGGTGGAAACCTTAAATTAATTATATAAAATTTATTTTTAGCGGAAAAGTACTTATGATATTTTAAACATTGACAGAATTAAAGACCAAAATTATAACCTATGTTATAATAATAATAGATTTCTTAAAAATATTAAACTGTGATGATTAGTATGCTGAATTTATGCTACATGACATGCTTATAATTATTGTTTACAGTATGTGCTGTTTAAAAGTAAGGAAAGTATGATTTTACAACTCGTATCTGTCTCAATAGGCATTGCTTGTATCTCATTCTATCTCATAGAAGTTGATGTAGTAGTTGACTCCCTAGCCTACTGTGACTACATTGTACAAAAATAAACATTTGTACTATGTGAAATAAGGGTTCTTAGGCTATTAGTCCCTTCTGTTTTTTTCTGTTATGTGAAGAAACTTAAAGGTTGTTTCGATTGTCTTGAACTCAAACTATGCTGAAATTCGTATTTATGTCGATACTTCTGAATGTTATTTGCAAAAACTGCAATAACTTATATAACACACTCATAACTTCTGTGCATTGTAAACAAAAATTAAGCATTTATTATTGAATTAAGTGCTTGAAAAAAGGTAGTGCCTTTTCAACTGATCACATGGTACTCGGCAATTTATAGTTTGCATTATTTATGAGATAGCTAATCTAGATTAGATCGGAAGCAACATTTTCAGGGTATCAGGTTTAATAAATAATCTGTATTCGTCATCAGCTAACAGAGGAAATTCTAATTAATGTTAAATTCTCGAAGGTTATACACAATTGTATGAACTTACTAAATGACATTACTTACGGTAACAAAAAAGCTATCAGAATTTGCTGGAGGATACAGAAAATATATAACACGTCCTTCTTCATCAGTTCTACGCTTGGAATCGTAAACACGTATCTCTTCACCTCTATCAGTTTTAGCTGTTATGGATGTAAGGATGTTTGTTGCTGGTTTCCCATCTGGATAAGTGACATCGGCCTGCCAATTATACATAAATTTTTGTTAAAAGAATTTTAATGTGATAATAAAATACAAAAATCAACTACCTTTATTGGTTAGCATTAAACAAACTTATGAATTACAATCAATAATGAAGAGTTGATTGATAATAAATTAAATTTTGTAATATTAATTAAGGAACACATAACGTAAATAAATGTTTGATATCTTTAGGATTAGTCTCAATTATTTAATTTCATAGTAATTTTGTAAAAGTAAAAACGTTATTGCGAAGCCAACTCTTGTAGTATACTTACCACTATAGCAGTTTTCACATTCCGCTTAAAGTCATTGATCGTTTCTTTAAGTGATATTGAGTATGGAGATTTTATAAATTTACAATGCTTGTCAACGGATTGCACAACGTTTCCTGTAACATTGTCTGTAACAGAAACATCGACAAGCAGTGTACTGTCATACGGAAAATCATTAAGGTTTACAACATCAGTTAAATTAAAAGATAACAATGACTCTCCGTTTTCTACCTGTAAACAATACATACTTATAAGAATTTACAAAATTTTCTATTTTAATATATATAACAATTTATTATTAAAATATCAATAATTGCGATAATATATACTGCAAAGCATTGAAAACAATTTATAATGCAAAATTAATCAGTACACTATGTGGATGATGTATTACAATTAAATTAATTGTGGATTTGGAAATATTTGGATTTGGTGTGAATAGTCTTTATATTATTTTGAATTAAACTATGAAATATTATTATTAAACACTTATCAGTAAATATATTATGTTTACTTACAGTTTTATTAATATTTAATAATTCACTTATATGTTCTGATGCACTTCTCTGTATGCTGATCTTATATGAAGCCATTCCATTAACTTTCTTTCCATAATAATATCTGGAATATTATAAAATGTGTAAATAATACTAATTAATTATTGTGATACTATTTCAAGCTATAAAATTTACGAAAACAATTATAAGATTTTTTTTTCAATGGGCACTAACCAAAGCTCTCAATCATACCACTGTGGATTAGGCCAAGATTCCGTTTTCAGGCAAGCCTAATCTATAACAGAGTACAAAATCTGTCTTGGGTTCGACCACAAGGGGCTTTTCCTTCCATAAATTCAACATGGACAGGAATCCACTCAAAACTCAGTTAACAAATATGTGATTGTCCCAACTAACTGTCACAACTAACTGCTTCTTAGCCCCTCAATTGTAATATCTCTTAGTTTCGTGTTATGCAATATGATGTAAAATTGTGTATTTATGTAGCTACTTCGTCATAATATTAATATATGTAACTCTGTAGTGTTGTTACAATAGTTAAAAATATAAAGTTCACGATATGATAGTATAGAAAATTGCCAGAGAAAATTGCTACTTACTCTGCAAGAACCTTAATGTATATTGTATCAGGTTTAGGCAAAATAAAGCTAGGAGCTTTAATTTGAACTCTGTAAGCTGGCAAAACTGTAATCGAGAAATTAAAATATTATATCATCATAAAATCATAACTGATAAACTTTTGCTTTCTTACCATATTCTTCAACGATAAAGGAAACAGAAGTACGTTGCTAAAATAAAACACCATAAAAAACATGTTTTTGTATATATTTAAAACTTATGCTAGCACTTTGTAAATTGGTGTATAATGCACTTACATTGATTCCATAATCTGCACTAACTGACCAACTTCCTAACAGTGGATAAGGAGGAAATTTGTAATTCAATGTTGGAAACTCTGTATTATTAGTTTTCCATGGTTGAGGAAAGACTTTTTCGTGAACGATAACGCTCTGAGGATTCTATGAAAAATAAAAAATACTATAATAGAGAACATGATTTCGTCGTTTTTTAATTAAACTACAGACAATTGATTATAAGCTAATAATAGTTTATAATTTTCTAATAGACTATGCTAAAAGCAAATGTAAGTCAATAAGCAAATAAGACAATGACTAAAGCTTTGTTCTGTGAAGTAAATATATATATTTTTCAAATTTTGGATATTTTCTTATATGCAGTTCAGAAAAATAGCATTGCTATAGACGTATAGAGCATGCATGTACTGTAACGACAGTCCTGGTAATATTAAATATGAAAGAAAGAACTTAATGTTTGCGATTGTATCCATAAATATTTTTACATTATTTCATAAACAATTACTCTCTAATTAAACATAAACAATAATGTATTAAAATTTATCTGATTAATCCGATCAAATAAAATTAATGCTGAAGTGCCATATTTAATGACAGACTACATATATGACACATTTCCCATGAAATTATAATGAAACTGGTAAATTGGCACTATTGTACACATTGTTTATGTTTAGATACATAAATAATTATTGTTTAATACCACTTTTATTACACAGCCTACATTAGTACTATATAATACCATATGGTAGCTTTTTTAAACTTTTTCCGATAATGGCACTGATAATTTTTCTTGTGGCACCCTACTTCTTTATCAATATGTAGTTATTGCACTTAATGAGTTTAATAATATAAGCATTAAGTAAGTGGTATGGGACTACTCAGTATTTACTGCACCGAGTCCACAAGTGGCCTAGTGGTGTTATTCACTAGGCCCATTGGCTGGCTCCCAGGAGTTGTCCCAGTTTTACTTCGTATATCTAACATTCAAATAAATGCCAGCTTTACTTAAATTCTGGAAAAGCTAGTCTCTGCACTTTTCTCTGCTTTGCAATATGCAATGTTGCGTTGCATTCTTCCATGAATCCATTTTGCAGCAGTCCTAAAGTGCCATGTTTACACTGTAGTGTGTCCTGGCACCTCGCTTGGAAACCACTGTTGTAACCTGTATGATAACTAAGTACAGTCTATGTTGTTCGTTTATTTAACTTAGTAGTGTGTCGTACAAAACGTATATCCATTGTTACGCGAAGATACGTTCTGTAAAACAGGTATGATACAGATACTATATAATTTGATGCGAGATGCTATCTGATATATTTTATTATAGTGAAAATACTCCAAATAAGTTTTGTATTTTTACAAATTACTAGTATATTTAACTTATTTTTTTAATATGAATCTTTATTTTTAAACATTACATCTGTTTCATCTATTATAATAAAAAATAATATTACATTAAGTATAATTATCTTAATCTATATTACCCTAATCCGGACACGAACTGGAGTATTCTTTTGTAACAAATCTTCATTTAATGGTATTACACGAATTTTAACTGTAAGAAAATATATCAACTTAAGCATAATGTAAACATATTAATTTATTTTTTCGTAATAGAAAAAAAAATTGTCTGTATATAATTCAAATATACAAATAATTCCCGAAGTAAAAGATTAGTAAAAATGTAAAAAGAAAATCGCACAAAACAAGATTTTTTTGTACACTAAATCACAAGTCATTCCACAAAACTGGTGTTTTTAGTACTGTAGTTCATAAATCATCTAACAATAAAGACAATTGCGGCATTTTACGCATCATTACTAAATACAGGAATAAATAAAACGCTTTTAAAAAGTAACCGAGTTCACTATATTGTCTGAAACTTGTTAACTATTGAGAAATATCTTAATTTCTTGAAGTATTAAGAATTTAGTGTAAAAAGTTATGGAGAAGAATCCTAGTATAATTAATAATCCTATTATCCTAATTAATAATAAATAAATTTGCATTTACAAAGGACAATTGACTTTTGTACTACCCTGTGCAAATTATATACGAATTGTATAATGGTATTTATTATTAATTTAAAAGTTTATCTGTTGAATAAACAAGTTACCTACCTTCTTGTTCAGGATTGTATATCGGTTTATCAGTTTGGATGAATAAATAACCGCTTTCGTAAAGTACTTTCAATTTAAAACTTTTCTTGAAGTTCTTACTTTCTACCACGAGAGCTACGTATAAGTCAACGTTGCTATTTTTAAAATCAATTTCTTGAAAGTAGACGGAAGATATAAACATATTTACAACTGCTGGAATGCCTACATTTAAAAAAATAGTAATAAATTACAATATTATAAAACTTGATTGCACTATAATATCATAAGATAAATCTACAGAGTGTCTAATAAGTGAAGCACCATACTGCAATTTACTGGGTTTCTATGTTTCAGAAAGATGTTTACTATACAGGAATTTACACAATTTATCCTAATGGTTTTAAAAAGCAAAAGAAATAAAGGTAATAAAGGAATTCCCCTGCCAACACTATCAATACATCCATTTCGATACTATTGTTATACAAATCATCACGAAGTTAAAGATGACTGGATCCGTAACAAAGTGCATCCAGACCCATACAGGACCATCCCTTTGAATGTCCGTGCGTAGCTGAACAGCAATTTAATCGAACATATCACCTTAAACAGCTATTTTGCCTAGAGTGTTTGAATTTTGAAACAGATTGTACTTTCTAAAATGCTTGCACTGTTAAATATTTCAATGAAGGTAATTTAAAAGATTTAAATAGAACATTTTAATGATTTCGTTTTGAAACACACGCATTATCTTTATAATTTTTTACAAATACAAATGTTTACAAAAGCCCTACTCAACCTTGTGTTTGGCTTACTTTTAAACTGAAAAAGTCTTCAATATTTTTGTTTTACTATACTTCTTATTAAATAAATTAAACAGTTGTTCTAATTATGCTTTTGAAAAAATCTTCAGAATGATCTACATTTATGTCCAACAACACAAAAAATCTTTCCAGCATTTGTAAAGCTAGGTGTTGTGTGAATAGCCCAGCGCTAAAGTTATTGAAGGAAATGATTTTGAGACGAATTAGCTTAACAGATAACTAATTCCTCATTACTAATAATTGTTGAAATTGATACTAAAGTATGTTGTATTTTCTTACAATCCATATTTAAAATGACCGCTGTCAGCGATAATACAATAATATAGACGGCAAGTATGAGGTTATAAATGGCATGTAGCACTGTTGGTCTTGTTGTATGCATCTCTCTACTTTGTCAACATCACCTGGGGTTGTTAAGTACACATCATAAATAAATGCTTTACATTATTCCACAGGAATAAATACAAGTAGGTTAGTATGGAGAACATGGTGGCCACGGAGCGGCAGCATGTTATCCTATCCAACAGTTGCAATAAACCGCTTATGCATATCTGTCTAGGAATGAGTGCTGCTCGATAGCATGTTGGTTTCTAACCTGCTGTCATTTTTTACCAATAGTACATCATTGAGCCATTCCTCCATTGTCATATGTAAAATGTTTATATATTCGTAACTATTTAGTGCTGTAAACGAATACGGGACCAAGAAGCTGCTTATTCAAAATTAAACATTAATCGTTTCACAAAAAACTCACTTATTGTCAAGCATGTCGCATGCAATGTGGAGCAGGTCTATCCAGTGGTAAGCGCTGCAAAGATTATACGCTCAATTTCGGTAAAATAGTGCTTCGTTGATCATAAAACAATAAATGTAAAAAAGTACTTTGCCATGTTCTAAATTTAACACCATCTTGCATCATACATTCTCTGCACGTTGTGTTCATTGCAGATAGCAGCATTTGGTGTTCATATCATAAAAACGCAATATCCGGTATATTTGTGTTTACTGCAGTCCACAACCGAACATCACTCAATCGAAAGATACTTAAACATGTTGTAGAGTTATAGAAAGCACTACTTAAACGATTACACATCATACTTTATTAAACCATGGCGTATCATAGTTCAATGAACCCTGTGTACTTCTACACGAATAAATAATAAAATAGAAATAAATAAAAAATATTTATTAACGTAGAACAGCTATGAAATCCTCTTAGTAAAAGCACAATACCTTTCTGAAGACTAACGCTGGAGTAGTAAAAAACTGTCGTCTCTCCAGAATAATCTTTCAAAGAGATCGTTAGTTCTTCATCTTCAGTTCCAATAATAGCAATTCCTTGATTTGTATCAAGACGAATCGACTTTGGTGCTGCTATAAATATCCTTCTGTGAAATATTATTTAATAGTTTTGAATGAAGTCCATTTTTCATTTGTAAGTATATGTATAAATCATACAAAATATATGATTACATTAATAATTTTATTAATTTTTAATAATGAAACTCCTTTTATACACTATTATAAATCATAATACGATTATTACTGTAGATCAAAAAAACTATTAACACAGCAATTGCTATAGCAAATTGATAATAATTGACGACATTAAGTATCATAAAGAGTTAATGCTGGTGATATCCCTATTAAATATTCATATATATTAATAACTATATTGTTAAAATTAATGATGTATAAAACATAACTCACGAGATATAAAGAAACAAATAGTCATAAGCATCAGTTCATAAAGACAACCTTAACCTGTGTGATTTACTGCTATAAATGCAGGAGCGATAGATAATCATGAAGTTGCATAGAGTATTTTATGAAGCCGAGAACGTAAGTAAAACATGGCACTGATTAAGGAAGTACGAATTCAAATCAGTTTAATGGTGGGTTTAGCCAGTGCAGGATGCAAAAAGTTTAACAGGCTATTGTTTGCTGTGGATGATTGGTGGGTAGTTTGGGTTTCCTACCAATTGAATATATCATTTCGAGCTATCTTTTTGGTCGTGGTGGTTAGTTCTGGTGTCTATAAGAGCAGGATCAATTGTAAAATGAAATGTTTTTTGTTTGCATTTTCAAAGCTATAGTTCAACGTTTTAAATAACTTTCAGGTATTCTTGGCTCTAAGCGTATTTAAATCCTGAAAATAGTGATCTGCATTCATTTTCAAGAAGACATTAAATTTGTTAGATTATCTACGTACACAGATTTGACGTTCGTGCAATTATATTTAATTTAATTCTATTATAAGCATGCTTACAATAAATAAAATATCAGAGATCTTTATATTAACAAAATGTAAGATTTTATTGATAAGAATATAAAGAATTTATATTTAAAAATTAATCTTACTCGGGATCTGCCGGTGGTTTCGGTGAAGATTTCTTGGGACATGTAAATGCCACATCGAACAATACCAATGATGTTACTAGAAATAAGCTTCAGAAAAATAAAAATACATTTATTTTTATGTACATTATTTAATTTATGTTTTTATGATAGAATTAGCAGGTGTTTGAGCACACCAACTTTTATTTTTGCTAGAGGGAAAATAGTATACGCGTTGTCAAACATGACGTTTCTACCCGATCCTGAGATCTCTAAGATAAGCATTGAGATCACAGGAATGGCGGAATTATTTACGGACTATCAGGCTGTTTTCTGGCATATATAAATTAGGATAGGTTAAACAGAAACTAAAACAATATAATTATAAGTAAACGATTATAATAAATTACTTACTACGAGCACAAAATATGAAAGTAATCGAAGGAAATATGTTTCGACATATTGGATTCTTGGCACTTTACATATAAAATGTTATCTTCCGTATGAATAAATTTATATTAATTCAGAAAAATGACATCATAAATAGAAGCTTTGGTTGGTGGAAAAGGATTTGTTTATGTTTATTGATAAGGGAGGATGTTTATGCAAGGATGATAACAGTGCTTACAGATTTATTATGATAGAGTCGAAATTTGGATATATTTATAACTTAATCAAACTCTATTTCCTTAAGCTTAATTTAATTTACGCTTTTAAAATTTAAATTTACTTTAGTAATTTCTAGTAAACTACTAATAAAAAGTAACCTTAGCAATGAGTTTTTACTTTAATTATAAATAATTCATCATTGAAATTAATTTCAACGTGTATCGTATATTAATATACAGGTTTAGATATAGATTTACTAGGTTAAAATTATATAGGGAAAAGAAAAAGTACAGAATAATTTGATTAGTAAAATGCAACAATTACACGAATGATTTATGAATATACAACACAGAAGACGATTATACTAAAATAAACTTTCTTCAAATAAAACATCTTTCATATATCTTATAATCATTTATTAAAAACATTTTTATCTATTTATATTAAAAGTTATTACAGTCGACCCCCCCTATAACACTGTTGATTATTCCGTTTTATATGAATTCCATATTGTACGAGTCACTTAGATTTTATAAATACATGTGCCGGGCTGTGAACGGCTCATGTATTTGTAAAATCTAAGTGACTCGTACAACATGGAATTCATATAAAATGGAATAATCAACAGTGTTATAGGGGAGGGTCGACTGTATACTCTTTTTTAAAATCTAACTTAATCCAATAATCTGGAACTATGACAGATTATCAATTTTAAGAATGTGAGAATACAATATTTCAGAAAAAATATTTAAAAAATTGAATGACTATTGAAAATGCGGATGAATATACTCTTTGGACCGAAGATAGATAAATGGCAATTTGGCTTTAGACGTGGAGTGTCAACTACGGATGCAATATACTTATTTAAAAACTGGGTTAAAGATTCGAATAATAAACGCGTCTTAGGGATATTTTTTGACGTAATTGGGGCATTTGATCATATATGGTGGCCCAGTGTACTGCTTGTTCTGCGGCAGTGGGAATGTCTGACAGATTTATATAAGATAACAATTCATTTTATTATTATGTTGGGTTTTGTGAGTTATACTCAGTTCACACCGGTGGCTGTGTACTATGCCGGACCAAAGTCAAGGCATAGCAACCAGAACGAAACTAAAATTAAATGTGTGTGTGTGTGTGTTCAGGAATTTCCTAACAATGTGGCAT